TTTAAATTTATAATGAGGGGCGGCATTTTCTGCAAGCTGAAGAGTTTGTTTGTTTTTTTTTGTTTTTTTTTTAACTTAGTGGCTTAGTGGTAGTGGGAGGCACAACTTTCTAGTCAACATATCGCAACATAACCCCTGGTCCGCTCGAAACGTTTCCCAGATATGCTCATTATGAGGACACGTTACACATCACCCAATGCTTGGACATTGGTCACTCTCTCAGTCTCTGTTGTTGGTGGAATTCTATTACGTAGCCGAGTCTCTCGCTTCGCACCTTTTTTGGCCCATGCGCCGTTTCCCTGGTCTGGTCTGCTGATTACCGAAGTCATTCTCTGATACCGTACACTGAAGTAATACGTCGGCATAGCTAGAGCGACGTGGCCTCCACGGCCTTGCCATGTTTCTGTTTAGTAAGCTGTGGGCAGCAACGCAGTCGCCGCAGCTTACCAGTGTATAAGGTTTACTTTAAGCAGATTTCTGATCGTTAATGCTGCATAAACTTTATGGTTTGTGTCCGTTGCGGTGGCCGCGCAAATGAACGCAGGGCAAGTAAACTCACAACTCACCATAACACATCCAAACACAGGACTAGTGAACCAACGGACAAGTTAACACGCAGAAAAGTGAATACCGGTATATAGAACATAGACAGCTGAACCCAACAACTGGGTTTGAAAAGGCCTTGCTGAGATAATCGTCATTCTTGACTTGTTCTTGTAAATTTATGTTCACTGCTAATTCGCAATGATTGGTTCCGAAAGATTTCAGCTACTTTTATAAATATGTAAATGTTTTTAATGTGCTGAAAATTATTTTACAAAATTGTGTAAATAACCATTTTTATTATATTTCTTGGGCAGATTTTTGTTTCCTAAACTGAGTCTATTGATTTCTTATTAAAAAACATTAACATGTTCTACAATATTGTTTAACATTTGTAAAAATATCTAGAAAATTCGTATCTTTTATGATAATTTCACATTGATATGCTTTAAATTTCATTTTTTTTACTCCTATATATCTAATATTGCTTAAATGAATTTTTTTCTCTTTTTAAAGTGGTCCACTTAGGCTTAGGATTTTCCATTTATCTCTGACGTCAAATGTATTATGAGGAAAAGTATTATTACCACATGCTTCAAAATTTGCAAGGTTGTTTTCTATTATATTCTCTACATAATGATTGATTTTTTATTTTTTTATTACATGTCTCATAAACAAAATTCCGAAGTTTTTATGATTTTATTATTTTTATTAGGCTCGAGGCTAGTGGGTTGATGGGAAAATGCATTCATTTATATTCTATCAATTATATCTATGTACTTAAATTGTTTTGTTTTTTTTAATTAATGAGTGGAATGTGTTCATGATGTATACCCGGGTACCTATAGATGCAGCCTTTTAAGAATTACATTTATAACCTAAATTTAATTTCACCCACCCTCCCCCCCTCCTATCGGATTCGGATCCGAGGACTGTGTAAGTAAACTACGTTAAAATCTCAAAACTTGAAAATAAACTGGAAGTTGCATATAAAGGGATTGGGGTGAGATCTACAATCGTCTCCGAGTGTAAAGATGGCCTACGCCGAGTTCAATAAATATCACGTGAAGATAATTCGTTTTTTATTGTATCGATTAGATTAATATCCTAACGTGCAACATTGTTGAAGTTAAGAGCAAATGTTTTTTTATTGATAATGATATCAGTTCGGTTTATTTGGAGGGCGTTTCTAGTGCACCAACGAACAAAAATGTAGGCCTATATCCAGTGTGTGGAGTCCAGGGTTTCTTTAAGCTAGATCTCGGGGGGGGGGGGGGGAAATGCCCCCCTCCCCGGGCAAACCCTAGTGCAAAAAAATGTCCAAAAATAAATCAACTAGCACTGCTGGCACTGCCCCCCCCCCCGGTAAAAATCTGAAGTGCCCCTTCCCCCACGGGGAAAATTTCTGAAATATTCACGGGTGGAGTCGGTAAAGATATCTTCGAGCTCTGACCCCTTACACCAGAATCGACAATGTTTTCCTAATTTTATTTCGACTCCGACTTAAAAATTGCTGCAACTTCATCTCATAACTTGACCTCCTCAGATGTGCAGTCAGCAACAACTTCCTTCACAATGAAATTATTTGTTTCTATTTTCAGCACTGTAAAATAAATCATTAATACAAAAATAAATAAATAAATAAATAAAAACACAAAGTTAAAAAATAAAATAGAAAAATAACAATAATAATTAAAAAACAAACAAAAAATTAAATGATGAAATGGAGGCATGACACGTGATAGGCATTATCGAACCCTTTGCTGAAATCAAACAAGCGACCATTTCGTTTCCTAGAAAACTTAAATAGTTCATGCCGATGAAAATGCACCCACGTCTCAGTTAACTATACTTCTAGTTTGGCTATGTCACCGCTAGAGATGGTGCATTCTAGTCTTGATGGTTCAAGTCAGGATGGTTCAAGTCAGGATGGTTCAAAGTCAGGATGGTTCAAGTCAGGATGGTTCAAGTCAGGATGGTTCAAGTCAGGATGGTTCAAGTCAGGATGGTTCAAGTCAGGATGGTTCAAAGTCAGGATGGTTCAAGTCAGGATGGTTCAAAGTCAGGATGGTTCAAGTCAGGGTGGTTCAAAGTCAGGATGGTTCAAGTCAGGATGGTTCAAGTCAGGATGGTTCAAAGTCAGGATGGTTCAAGTCAGGATGGTTCAAGTCAGGATGGTTCAAAGTCAGGATGGTTCAAGTCAGGATGGTTCAAGTCAGGATGGTTCAAGTCAGGATGGTTCAAAGTCAGGATGGTTCAAGTCAGGATGGTTCAAGTCAGGATGGTTCAAGTTAGATGATTCTTGCTATTGGTCACGTTATTGTCCCGGTATCCATCACGTTGTCCTTCGGGTATTGCTCACGCAACTGGTCACGCTATTGGTCACGTTATTTGCTACGTTATTCGTCACGTTATTCGTCAAGTTATTCGTCACGCTATTCGTCACGTTATTCGTCACGCTATAGGTCACGTTATTTTTCACGTTATTTGCTACGTTATTCGTCACTTTATTCGTCACTTTATTGGTCACGTTATTGGTCACGCTATTGGTCACGTTATTTGTCACATTATTCGTCACTTTATTCGTCACGCTATAGGTCACGTTATTTGTCACATTATTCGTCACTTTATTCGTCACATTATTCGTCACTTTATTCGTCACATTATTGGTCACATTATTCGTCACTTTATTCGTCACATTATTGGTCACGTTATTTGGTACGTTATTCGTCACGTTATTCGTCACGTTATTGGTCACGTTATTCATCACGTTATTCATCAGGTTATTCGTCACGTTATTCGTCCCGTTATTGGTCACGTTGTTCGTCACGTTATTCGCCCCGTTATTGGTCACGTTATTCGTCACGTTATTGGTCACGTTATTCGTCACGTTATTCGTCACGTCATATGTTAGACTGCGGCCAAATTAAAAAGCAATTTTAAATGGAATATTAGGTTTGCACGGATTGATCTGCAGATGATTGGTATTACTTCTATTGTTGTGGTACTTTGGTACTTTGGTACTTTGTCTCTAATGACCAAATTATTCACGTGGTTATCTATTCTAAAAAAACAAAAACAACAAAAAACAACCACACATGCTTAAATTAGAAAAGCATGTACGAGCAACATAGGGGGGGGGGGGCAACAACGTTGGTGGACGAATACGACAAGATAGCTTTTAGAAGAGTGGGGAAACACAACTAGTGGAATGCTGGGGCAACGTCGCGTGTAAACGACCTGGACAACACCGTTGGTAGAATCGTCGGGCCAAAATAGTTGTCACAGGGTCGGGGCTCAATTTTAATAAATTGGTTTTAAAATAATAATTATATGTATATGTTCTTTCCTGAAAAAAAAAAGTCCATTCCAGCTCCACTCAAACTCACTCCATAAAAACAAAAACATAAAAAAACAACCACACATGCTTAAAATAGGAAAGCATGTACGAGCGACATAGGGGGGGGGGGCAACAACGTTGGTGGACGAATACGACAAGATAGCTTTTAGAAGAGTGGGGAAACACAACTAGTGGAATGCTGGGGCAACGTCGCTTGTAGACGACCTGGACAACACCGTTGGTAGAATCGTCGGGCCAAAATAGTTGTCACAGGGTCGGGGCTCAATTTTAATAAATTGGTTTTAAAATAATAATTATATGTATATGTTCTATGCTGAAAAAAAAAAGTCCATTCCAGCTCCACTCAAACTCACTCCAACTCACGCCAGCTCACTCCAGCTCCTCTCAAGCTCACTCCAGCTCACTCCAGCTCCACTCCATCTTATTCCAGCTTACTTCATATCACTCCAGCTTATCCATCTCACTCCAGCTTACTCCAGCTCCGCTCCCAGCTCCGGGAAAAGAGTTCCAGGCTCACACCTCCAGCATTGTGCTCTGCCGCACAAATCAAATTTTGAGACAGAGAAGGCCTGGATTTATAGCCTACTCGAAATGAATCCTTTGAGAGAATTTTTTTTTTAAAAGTACACCCTTTAAATGGCAGGGAACTTGTTCCCATCCCTTGCCCTACCCACACCCCACTAAACATCACCGTTTTTGTTAAAAATTGCAATCGCTACTTTCTATCAGCTCAATCATGCCCTTCATATTGAGCACCACAGTACGGATGGAGACTGCCTCGATTTTCTTATCGATACTTATAAGTGATCCCGCGACAGTATTTAATCTGTTAATCTCATTGTCATTGATGGTTTTGTTATCAACATCGGTGTGTAGTCGTACTCGAAACATTTCGTTTAATGTCGTACTCTACACTTTCGTTGAGTCGATTCGCTTAAAGTCTTAATCCTAATTAAGACGTTTCGGATGACTCTTTGTTAAATTCTACAGAAGCGGGCATAAACGATTTGTGATATTGGGATTTGTAATCGACGATGAAACCATAAGTGACCGGAGCGATACTTGGAGTTGTAATCGTGTTGAAAGTATTCGAAGAGTCACGGATGCCGTTTTCTGCTTCGCGGAACAAGTTATCTGACTAGGATTTTCTTGACCCATATTTATATCATTACATCCTTTAAGTGTGATCACAAATCGCCCTTGCTCCATTACGGACCTTACCAGTAGATTGTAAGCAAGAGAAAGTTTCACGGGTGTCATTGTGTTAAATAATGTTTAAAAAAAAAGATTTCTATGATATCATGTGGCTATTTTATGCTAGCTAGAAAGTCCAAATGCGGCCCTCCAGCACCCACTTTGCAGCCCGCGAAGTAACGAAATATTCTTTATATATTAATATTATTTTCTTAATAGCTTTCCGCCCTTCCTACAATATTTCGGCCCGCACAAGTTTTTCATAAAGTATTACGGCCCGCACAAGTATTTCATAAAGTATTACGGCCCGCCCCACATTTTGAGTTGTGCAGGCCTGTACTGTGATGTCACTGTGTTAATTTGTGTTGACTAGCAGTCTCTATGATGTCACTGTGTTAATTTGTGTGGACTAGAAAGTTACTAGGAACTCTATGATTTCAGTGAGTTAAATTGTGCTGACTAGGAGCTCTATGATATCATTGTATGAATGTATGTTGACTAGGTGCTCTATGATGTCACTGTGTTAATTTGTGTTGCCTAGGAACTCTGTAACATTACTGTATTAATTTGTGTTGACTATAGGAACTCTGTAATATTACTGTCTTAATTTGTGTTGACTTTAGGAACTCTGTAACATTACTGTATTAATTTGTGTCGACTAGGAACTCTTTAACATCACTGTATAAATTTGTGTTGACCATAGGAGCTCTGTGACATTACTGTATTAATTGCTGTTGACTAGGAGCTCTAGCGACACTCTTATTTATAACGAGTCCACTCACTGAGTAGACATAAGTTGGTGGCACGTAAAGTATGAGCCCAATGTTCTAATTCTATGATCATGGTACGCAGGCTAGAGTTCGGGATAATGAAGAGACGTCAAAACCTTTCCCTGTAACAACCAGCTTGAGACAAGGCTGTGCGTACTTGCCCCAACACTATTCAGTCTCATGTATTCCGCAATGCTGACCGATGCCTTCAGAGAGAGAGAAGCTGGTATTGGCCTCAGATACCGAACTGACGGTAATCTATTTAACACCAAGAGGCTACATGCTAAAACGAAGGTCCTGAAAGACACCATCAGGGACCTCCTGTATGAAGACTGTGGCCTGAACGCTGTATCAGACGTGGATATGCAACAATGCGTCACAAGCTTTTCTAATGCTTGCACAAACCACGGGCTCTCCATTAACATAAAAAGACTGAGGTCCTATACCAGCGAGCACATAGAAGATCTAATGTTGAGCCCAACATCCAAGTCCATGGCGAAAGATTTAACGTGGTCAATAACTTTTCCTATCTCGGTAGCAAACTTTCTCAAAGCGCAACCATCGATGACGAGGTTAAAATCCATATTGCGAGAGCCAGTGCAACCTATGGAAAATTAACTAAGAACGGATAGACCCGGAGAGGTATCAGCACTAAACTGAAAGTATGTCAGGGGGCTGTTCTCCCTACGCTTCTCTATGCCTGTTGACCGTATACCAAAGCCATGCAAAAATGCTGAACCACTTTCATACAAGAAGATTTTTTTTAAAAATCAACATTAAATGGCAATATAGAGTCCCAGCCACTGACGTGCTCACACAGGCAGGCCTCCCCGGCATCTTTACCATCTTAATGAAGTTCCAGCTTCCCCTGGAGGGACATGTTGTGATAATGTCCGACGACCGTCTGCCCAAAATAATTTTATATGGTGAGTTTGAACAAGGAAAGCGGTCTGCTGGCGGGCAAAAGAAACTTTTTTTAAAGACAACCTAAAAGCCTCACTGAAAGCCTCACCGAAAGCCTCACTGAAAGCCTCACTGAAAGCCTCACTGAAAGCCTCACTGAAAGCCTCACTGAAAGCCTCAAAATAAAAGGAGCGAGCATCATGGCGTTCCACGTTACACAGGAGCTCCGCGCAACAGGACGTTGGCAGAACAGCGGCTGCAGAGCGCACGAGACTTGCCAGGAAAGGCACCGCCTGATTCTGCTCCCGGAGATGCCCCCATCATTCCCCTGCACCTACTGTACAAGAAAATTTCGTGCCAGAATCGGCCTCATTCGCCATCTTCGCAACCACAGACAGAACCAGCACAAACTCTGATGTTTAAAGTGGTCATGGTCGACTTCCGACTGACGAAAGACAATTCTATGATCAGTGAAAACTTAAAAGGAACTTATGAATGAAGCCTCAAAAAATTCGGAGCTTAAGGACGTGTTGATTTCTAGCAAGGCTTAATAGAACTTAAACGAGAGTTGATATCTAGCAAGGATTAATAGAGCTTAAGCAAGAGTTGATCTCTAGCAAGGATTAATAGAACTTAAGGAATAGTTGATCTCCAGCAAGGTTTAATAGAACTTAAGCAAGAGTTAATACTATGCAAGTCTTAATAGAACTTAAGCAAGAGTTGATCTCGAGCAAGGCTTATTAGAAAATTCTTACAAAAGTATGTTTGTGTGTTTTTAATAGAGGCTTTTCTTTAATAATGAATACCAAACAAAATAATTGCGTTAGACATACAATAGCAGCAAGACAACCCTAGCTCAGTGGCCGGTTTGGGACAAACACGTGATGTCGATTTGGTGGATAAACATTGACCAAGTTGTTTTTTTTTTAAACATCAAAAAAAAAAAAAAAGAAAAGATTTTTTTTTTTTTTTTCTTTCTTTTCTTTCTTTTTTTTTTGCTCCGGCCATAAAAATGTATTTACTATTCCTATTCGTTTTTTTTTGTTTTTTTTTTAAGCAAAAAAAAAAAAAAAGGAAGACATGGCGAACTACGGTACCTTTACTATTCTGTCTGCTGTAGAATGCGGTCTAGCGGTGCTGTTTTGGGTTGTGTCGTTCGCAACAAGGGGCTGGCTGGTCGGCAACACTCTCCAGGGAGACGTCGACATCGGACTCTTCAAGACGAGCGTCTCCGTAGGATCACAAGAGCTTGTCGTGGACACGAGCTCTTTTCTACCGGACGTCAGTGAGTACTTGGCAGACGTTTTTTGGGGACGTCTGCTTTCTTCAAAAAGAACCATAATTTAAAAAAAAAAAGACTAGTTATGTGTGGGAAGAAAGCTATGATTGGGAAGAAATTTATGACTGAGAAAAAGTTTTGAGTAGGAAGAAAGTTATGACTGGGAAGAAAGTTATGAGTGAGAAGAAAGTTATGACTGGGAAGAAAGTTATGACTGGGAAGAAGATTATGAGTAGGAAGAAAGTTATGACTGGGAAGAAAGTTATGAGTGGGAAGAAAGTTATGAGTGGGACGATAGGTATGATGGGTAAGAAATTTTAAGATTGGAAAGAAAGTTATGTGTGGGAAGAAAGCTATGATTGGGAAGAAAGTTATGATTGGGAAGAAATTTATGAGTGGGAGAAACTCTTGACTGAGAAAAAGTTATGAGTGGGAAGAAAGTTATGATTGGGAAGAAATTTATGAGTGGGAAGAAACTCATGAGTGAGAAAAAGTTATGAGTAGGAAAAAAGTTATGAGTGGGAAGAAAGTTATGACTGGGAAGAGAGTTATGATTCGGAAGAAAGTTATGATTGGGAAGATAGTTATGATGGATAAGAAATTTTAAGATTGAAAAGAAAGTTATGAGTGGGAAGAAAGCTATGATTGGGAAGAAAGTTATGATTGGGAAGAAATTTAAGAGTGGGAGAAACTCTTGATTGAGAAAAAGTTATGATTAGGAAGAAACTTATGAGTGGGAAGAAAGTTATGAGTGAGAAGAAAGTTATGACTGGGAAGAAAGTTATGAGTGGGAAGAAAGTTATGAGTGGGAAGATAGTTATGATGGGTAAGAAATTTTAAGATTGGAAAGAAAGTTATGTGTGGGAAGAAAGCTATGATTGGGAAGAAAGTTATGATTGGGAAGAAATTTATGAGTGGGAGAAACTCTTGACTGAGAAAAAGTTATGAGTGGGAAGAAAGTTATGATTGGGAAGAAATTTATGAGTGGGAAGAAACTCATGAGTGAGAAAAAGTTATGAGTAGGAAAAAAGTTATGAGTGGGAAGAAAGTTATGAGTGAGAAGAAAGTTGTGACTAGGAAGAAAGTTATGAGTGGGAAGAAAGTTATGAGTGGGAGAAACTCTTGACTGAGAAAAAATTATGAGTGGGAAGAAAGTTATGATTGGGAGAAATTTATGAGTGGGAAGAAACTCATGAGTGAGAAAAAGTTATCAGTAGGAAGAAAGTTATGAGTGGGAAGAAAGTTAGGAGTGAGAAGAAAGTTATGACTGGGAAGAGAGTTATGAGTCGGAAGAAAGTTATGATTGGGAAGATAGTTATGATGGGTAAGAAATTTTAAGATTGAAAAGAAAGTTATGAGTGGGAAGAAAGCTATGATTGGGAAGAAAGTTAAGATTGGGAAGAAATTTAAGAGTGGGAGAAACTCTTGATTGAGAAAAAGTTATGAGTGGGAAGAAATTGATGAGTGGGAAGAAAGTTATGAGTGAGAAGATAGTTATGATGGGTAAGAAATTTATGATTGGAAAGAAAGTTATGATTGAGAAGTAAGATATGAGTTGGAATAAAGTTATGAGTGGGAAGAAAGTTATGATGGGGAAGGCATTTATGAGTGAGAAGAAAGTTGTGAGTGAGAAGGAAGTTATAAGTGGTAAGAAAGTTATTATTGGGACGGAAGTTATAATTGGGAAGAATGTTATGATTGGGGAGAAAGTTATGATTGGGCAGGGAGCTATCTGTGGAGTGGAAGTTATCGGTGTTAAAAAAAAAATTGTAATGGTCAGGTACTGTTCCGATAACCGACGCTAACCATTGTCGGAATTCGGATAATCGACGCTGAACTGTATCTTCATTTGCGTGTGATGTGTTGAAGGGATTGCTCCGTCGCTACATGAAAACTGTCTTCCCAACAACTAGCTGACCGGCCAGCGGGCATTTAAATGAAATATTTTCGTTCACTTTTTAGTGCGATTAAATCGGCGACGCTGTATTTTAAGAACTTTTGATTTACGCAATGATAATACAATGGCGTTAGCTTTTCTGCTGCGAAGGAGGCGAAATACCGTAGCGTCTATTTTTGGGATTAATTATTAACATTTTATAAAAGATGTCTGTGTGAGTGTGTGTTAGGTGAACGCACTTTTCAGAGTTCGTCCCGGGTAACAGTCTTATCCACTATTTTGAAAGTAAAAAAAAAAAAAAAAGTTAATTAATTGTAAAAAATAAGTAATTGTTTTCTACCGACCCATTTGTTAGGGTGGGATAGATGATTTATTGTGTAACTTATTTATGTTGTTCTTTGTTAGGCTCCGAGCTTGACGTCACGATTGGACTCATGGCCACCGGTGGAGCTTTTGCACTTATCTCACTGGGTCTCCTGGTTGTGACCATACTGAAGAAAGAGAAGATTTTATTTGTGGCGTTCGCTGTAACATCGGCACTTTCCGGTAAGTCAGGTATACGTAAAATGTGCTGTCAAAGTCCATAGTGGAACATTTGACATTTGATACTAGATCGGTACAGTTGTCAGTGTAGGGTGGGTGTGGTGGTCAGTGCAAGACGGGTACAGTTGTCAGTGTCAGATGGGAAAATTTGGAAGTCAGCGGTAGAGAAGGTCAGCTGGCAGTCATGCTAATGTGGTTGCAGTTAGCTGTCGTTGCGTGCGGTACAGTTGTCAACGTCATATGGGTACAGTTGTCAACGTCATATGGGTACATTTCTCTACGTCATATGGGTACAGGTGTCAACGTCATATGAGTACAGTTGTCAACGTCAGATCGGTACAGTTGTCAATGTCATATGAGTACAGCTCTCTACGTCATATGGGTACAGGTGTCAACGTCATATGGGTACAGTTGTCAACGTCAGATCGGTACAGTTGTCAATGTCATATGGGTACAGTTGTCAACGTCACATGAGTACAGCTCTCTACGTCATATGGGTACAGGTGTCAACGTCATATAAGTACAGTTGTCAACGTCAGATCGGTACAGTTGTCAACGTCAAATGGGTACAGTTGTTAACGTCGAATGGGCACAGCCATTGTCCTATGGCTATAGGTGGTAAAATTGAGTGGTGTGTCCCTAGATCAAACGCTCTGTGCTCATTCATAGAATAGAGAGATTATTTTTACGTTTGGTGCGTCACGTCTTCCTTTGTTGTTGTTTTTTTTTCTGGTGAAATAAACATGTAGTGTTAAACGGGTTGGTCACTAGAGTATTAACATATTTCACGAGCGTGGAAAGTGTGCGGTTGCATGCACTAAAGGAGACTCTTAGAAAGTGCGCCACTTGTTTGCGGATTTTGTCAAATTTTCTGCCCCCACCCCCCTCCCCCCACCCCCATTGCATGATGTTACATTTTATAAAGCATTTACACGAAAAAAAGTCTCTTTTTTAGCGTTTGTTAAGGTATAAATGTAACGAAATGTTGTTTTTTTTAAAACACTTCTTTGGTTCTGTTAAAAAATTATTATTGTTATTATATTTTTTTTTGCAATTGAAAAGAATCATTTTGCATTAATTAACATGAATTATTTCAATAGCACCGTACGCCTAGTATAGTCACACATTCTAGTTTAATAATGGCTAGTTTTTTTTAAAAAAGGCGTGTGGGCCGAGGGGTTGGGGGGTGGGGGGGGACAAATACTTTAATTTTTTTAAATATATTTTTTGAGAGCTAAAAGTTTTGCACCATACATCCCAAGTAGGGTCCTTTGGGATAAGGCGCCTTCCAATATAGCACTTTTCCATTTTGAAAGGATTTTTATTTATACTAAGATATCAGATGCGTAGCTAGAGTGTTTTGGGCCCCAAAGAGAGGGGGGGGGGGGCAAGATTCATTTTAAAGTACCTATCTTTATTTTCTTTGTCAACTCTCAAACCCATTATTTTCGCCAATAAAATAATATCAAAACACATTTTGGTGCCCCTAACCACTCTGGCGCACAGGGACATCTGTCCCCCAACCCCCGCCCCCCCATAGCTTCGCCTCTGACTAAGATACCATCAGCTTGATCATGACGCGCGGAACATTTTAAACATTTCTGTTCAAGGTATCCTGACGCTGGTCGGCGCTATTCTATTTAAAGTCAACTATGACCTGGATTCGAATGTCGACGTGGGCTACAGCTGGTACCTGGCAGTGTTGGCCTACGTCTTCCAGTGGTCGTCCTTTGGTTCCCTGGGAGCGGCTGTCAGGAGAGGGGAGATCGCCTTCAATGGAGGATTTAATTCAATGAGATAATCCTATGACCTCTTTAATTTGTCATTGTGTGTGTGTAAAGGTGTGGATGTGAATTTGGTGTAAGGGATGTTTGACAATCTCGTATGGGGCAGTCTCTTGTAATGCTGTATTATCCATTTGTGGATTATTGTTAAATTTAAGTTGATTTTGGAGTAGAAGAGAAATGCAGAGAGAGAGAGAGAGAGAGAGAGAGAGAGAGAGAGAGTGATATATAAAGAGAGAGAGAGAAAGAGAGAGAGAGAGAGAGAGATAGAGAAGGGGCGAAAACAGAAGAAAAAGGACAGACGTATGGTTACATTGACAGAATCATCTGTGAATGACTGCAGTAGGATGAACTTGTCATAAAATTTGTGGTCGACGTTGAAGATTTTAAAAATAAAAAATTAAATACACCATCACACATGTGTTTCTTGACTTTGGATTATTTTCTAACTTCCCCAATACGTTTTCAACGTATAATTGATAAAGGATATTTAGGTCAATCAAGTAATGTTTGGCTGTTTTGTTCGTTAGAAAGTTATTGTTACCAAATTTTGAAAGTTATGAAAACGGAACTGATAAATCAACTAAGAATGCCAAAACTCGTGACATGTTAAAATTTAATTAATTTTTTTTTTTTACTAATGATGCTCAATTACCCCCGTATTTGTTTTCTTATATTTTAAATATTTCATAAAATATAATTGTCCTTAATATTCGTATTTTTAACAGTCATAGTACATAAATTGTTTTATTTTCTGTAATCTTGGTTTTGAAAAACTCTACTTCCGGCAATGACATGAATGGCGGCCACTAAAGTTTTTAAAAACTACCTTCTATTTCTTGTTATTTTTATAATTTGTCCTGTCTGCCGAGGAAGGCTCCCAGTCTAAACATTCTTATTTTAATTTTGTATTTCTATTTCAAACTTCCATATATCTTGTTTTTTTTCTACTTCCTTTACACAACTTCAACTCATTCTTTCATTTATTATGGGAAGGATCACCTGTAAATATCTGGGATATTATCTGAAATTGAAAATATATATTTAAACTTATAACTGTGATGGGGGCAACAATATGCTCATTGTGTTACAGGTTATAACAAGGCAAAATTGTATCCACGTTATTAAAGATTAGGATGTGACAATTTATTAAAGATAAAAAGTTGAAATAATTCGTAAACAATTGCAATATAAAGTCTCCACCCAGGGGTTTAGTATAGAATTCTTCAGCACCCAGCTCTTGCAATAGATCAAAAGTTGAACCTCACCCACCCCCCCCCCCCCCCCCCTATTTATTAAAGATAAAAAGTTGAAATAATTCGTAAACAATTGCAATATAAAGTCTCCCCCCAGGGGTTTAGTATAGAATTCTTCAGCACCCAGCTCTTGCAATAGATCAAAAGTTGAACCTCACCCACCCCCCCCCCCACACACACACTCATTATTGGATAAGTGTGAAACAGCCAACTGATTGGATAACCTACAACTACATGCATATTTTGTAATGTTTTATTATTATTATTATTTCAATTATTGAAAATGGTCCGTGGAAATTCGTGTCTTCACGTGCCAGTCCAAACACAATCACCTATAGAACTGGACAGCAACAGGATAAAGAGAAAAAACAACAACCTTTTTTTGGTATGCTAATCGGACACTGTATCGTTAGGTTTTTACTAAATAAGGTTTGCTGCTTTCGAATCTTAAGTACGATTTTGTGCAATTAATCATGATTTTAAGGTATGCAGCTTCATGCGAATTTTTTTTAATCATGCCAACAAGTTACAGAGCTATTGTTTGCTTAATAACTGTGTAAATACTCAGAATAATCATAAAAATGAACATAAATGTTATTTATTATTTTATAATTTGAAATTAATACGTAACGTATTTCCGATAAGCAATTTTATGTTTGATTTTTTACATTAAAAAAACGTCAACAGAAAGTTAATCTTAATAAAGACAAGCTAAAATCTTCCAAAAAATATAACAAAATTTAAGAAAAAATAATCTTATGATTAAGTTTTTAAATCTAATATAACTATATGTATGTAACTTAGATGAAATGAAACAATTTTAAATTTCGTTCCCTCGCTTTACTCTATACCATTTCAAAATTTCGTTAGGCACTTGCTCTTCTGAGTGGCCGCTGGTGCCTGCTGAGGAAACCACCAGTAATCTGACCTCACTGCAGTGGCCTTGATACCTTGTTTCCAAGGTGAAGAAGTCTTGGATAAATCCCACTTATCTCTTTCATCGACCAAGTTTGGTGGGGTTAAATCTAGGCTAGAATGTAAGAAATGCATTTTACGGAAATCAGGGCCGGAGTTGAGTGTGGGCTGTAGCCATAGCCCTGAGTTGCTTGTAGATTCTAGCTTTAGTCCTGATTTGCTTGTAGGCTGTAGTCATGGTCTTGAGTTGCGTGTAGGCTGTAGCCATAGTCCTGAGTTTCTTGTAGGCTATAGACATAGTCCTGAGTTGCTTGTAGGCTATAGACATAGTCCTGAGTTGCTTCTCGGCTGTTTCCATTGTCCTGGATTTCTTGTAGGCTGTGTCCGTAATCCTGAGCTCGGTGGTTCTCAAAAATGTCTTGAGGCACCAAAGATGATGCAAATGACACGCTCAAGTGGGTTCAGCTGAGTACTAAATCATTGTATCACGCACCAACTTGTAGACTTGTGGCCTCGATTAAAGATTCCAGCTCTCCCTTAAGCATCTGTTGTTTTGTTGTTGTTTTTTTTCCGAATCTCTCTTTCAGATTCTGAGAAACTTGTTCACTACGATCTATTGGTACTACACCCATTTTTTCACGTGGCCCTGTTTCACGTGAAGTGGTGGTAAGCACGCTTTATAAGGATCAGCCAATGATTCTTGTTGCCCGTTGAGCAGACCAAGAATGTGCTCACATCTAGGATGCATTGGGTTTTCACATTGTAAGTGTTGCTATCTTCACGACTGATCCGCAAGCAACAACAAAACAAAAAAAGGCGCAAAGGTTTTGTGTGGCTCAAATGAGATCATAAAAGAAGTGGTATCCAATTGCTGGTCGACCCAGATGTTCCAGATGTGCTCTGAGGTGCTGATCACGTTCAAAATGAGTTTCCTTAAATCGTATGCGTCTTCCATTTTTTTCGTTACTATCATGAAACCCCCCCCCCCCCCCCCACAGGTTTCAAGTTCACCTTGCTGAAGCCTAGGAGCAGTCTCCACTAATCAGGAACGAATGCGCAACCAAAATGCAGCCATGAGACCATTCATATCAGTACAGATACATGAGACCGTTCACATCAGTAGATTGACATGAGACCATTCACATCAGTAGAGAGACATGAGACCGTTCACATCAGTACAGAGACATGAGGCCGTCCACATCAGTACAGAGACATGAGGCCGTCCACATCATACAGAGACATGAGACCGTCCACATCAGTACAGAGACATGAGACCGTCCACATCAGTACAGAGACATGAGACCGTCCACATCAGTACAGAGACATGAGACCGTCCACATCAGTACAGAGACATGAGACCGTCCACATCATACAGAGACATGAAGCCGTCCACATCAGTACAGAGACATGAGGCCGTCCACATCATACAGAGACATGAGACCGTCCACATCAGTACAGAGACATGAGACCGTCCACATCAGTACAGAGACATAAGACCGTTATATATACATCAAATTTTCCAGGTTACAACATGTTACGAAAAATACTGTTGTTGTTTTTTGTTGTTTTTAAATTTTGACAGGGCTGGGGAGTATTGAGTGTAAAAAAGAAACAACACCATGGTTTGACAACAAAAAGGCACACAGTCAGTTTGTGACAGAACATTATGCGCGTGACAAATTTAAAACACGTGCTTTGTGTTTTCAGGAAATTAACAATGTGACAGAATGTGACAAGATCAAGATAGACACTTGAGCAATTTTTCTGCTTTGAATTTCTCATTCAAATAACTATTGTATTTATGCAATAAGGAGATCCATTAGGGGGGCTATCCATATATATCAGGTACCCCCTTAGGGGAAAAAAAAGGGGAGGGGGTCGATTTCTGAGCTTCTGCGTACGCGTGCTAATGGCGGTTTTTTTGGGGTGGGGGGGGGGTTATGGAGTCATGGGAGAATGTACGTATATATATTCAAAAAGTCTAAAATAATAATCATGAATATCTGACCGTAAAAACAAAAGTATATTTATATCTCTAATCCGCTAAAATATCACTCGTAATGTATTGTAGGAATTAGTGTTATAATGTTGCACTATGTTTTCAACAAAAAAACAACAAAACAACAACAAACAAAAAAACAAATAACACCCCATAACAACTCGCAACATTAAAGTATTACAGTATTATTTAGATTACCGTATGTTCAACGAGCGTGTAATGCATCCAACCCCCGGGGCCGCTACATCAGTGGTTCCTAAAAATTTTCAATTCCCGGCGCCCTTGCTAAATTTAGGTTTTTCACCAGGCGCCCTGGGATAAATAAATTCTAAAAAATAGAATTCGAAATAGCGAATAAATAAAACACAAAAAAAAGGCTTAGACGGACAAGCTGTTATCCACCACCGACCTTACCCCGGAATAGAGCTCTGCGTGTATTCTCTCCGGCGCCTCAATTAGTGCGTGCACACCTCTTCACTAGGCCGAGCTCGGCCATCGCACTGGGGGATATAGTCATGCACAAAAAAAGTATGCATTTGTTGTAACAAGCGAATAGACCCGTCTTCTTGGTGTTAATTTCCATTTGCCACCGCTGCACGTACCTACTGACCAGAGGCGTAGCGAGGGGGTGGCAGGGGGGACAGATGTCCCCGGGCGCCAGCTAGATAGGGGCGCCAAAATGTGCTTTGATATTACATTATTTGTTAAAATAATGGGTTTAAGAGTTGAAAAAAAAAGAAAAGGGGGCGCTTTAAAATTGATCTTGTCCCCGGGCACCAAACAACCTCGCTACGCCTCTGCTACTGACAGCTGTTAGGCAACGCTGTGCTGACTCTTGCAGTCGGCTGGCATTTTTTACCGGTACTCCAAGATTACCCAATCGTCCGCATACGTGCTAAATGGATGCCCCCCCCCCCCTTTGCCTGATAACACTAGCTTACACATAACCGGAAGCGGATTCTGGTTTCATTGGTCGAAAGTATATCTATTTATAGTTCCTTGTTTGCTTCGTTATCAACAGTATCGCAATTTCAAGGAACGTAACTGAATAAAGTAAAACTTCTTAATTTAGTTAAAACAAATAGTTACACATGAAGTATGAAGTAAGATATACCGTTCAAGGGTGGGGCTGGGATGCGATGTCTACAAATGGAGGGTGCTGGGGTGTCTACAAATGCAGAGGGTTGGGGTGTCTACAAATGGAGTGGGCTGGGGTGTCTACAAATGGAGGGGGCTGGGGTGTCTACAAATGGAAGGGGATGCGATGTCTACAAATGGGGGCTGAGATGTCTAAAAATGGAAGGGGCTTCTATGTTTAACAATTTAACAATCTACACATGGAAGGGGGCTGGGGTGTTTACAAATGGAGGGGGTTGGGGTGTCTACAAATGGAGGGGACTGGGGTGTCTACAAATGGAGGGGGCTGGGTTGTCTACAAATGGAGGGGGCTGGGGTGTCTACAAATGGAAGGAGGCTGGGGTGTCTACAAATGGAGGGGCTGGGGTGTCTACAAATGGAGGGGGCTGGGGTGTCTACAAATGGAGTGGGCTGGGGCTGGGGGGTCTAAAAATGGAGGTGGGTGGGGTGTCTAAAAATGGAGGGGGCTGGGGTGTCTACAAATGGAGGGGCCTGGATT